ATGTCTGTTTGCCTGTTCACTCTCTGGTACTTACTCCTTTCTGCGACCAACTTCCCCTACTCCAAGTTCCCACTATAAGAGGAACAGCAAAGTTGATTTCAGATCAGTATAAAAAGCGTACTTCTACTAGACCTCACAAATGTATAATTGTACTTAATACCCATATATGGAGCATTCTAGTGGTTCAAAGTAAAAGTTGAAAACATTTTGCACTTCTAACTGACTTAAACTTTAGACTAAAATCATTTTGCTTTGAGTGACCTTACGCCTTGATTGAGCATCCTGTTTTGTCACTACCAAAGCAATCATAACACAACCAAACCTTTACCAAATGTTTCAGTAATGACTGTTTTGGTTGTGACAATTTTAGCTAATTTTGAGGAAAACTCAACAATGCTAGCCAGTTCATGACTAAACACTGTTTTACTTTCTATTGGGAAGTGGCTGCCTCAAACCCCAAACCCTGAAATTCAATTATAATAGTAATGCTTATTTTAAGCAATTTATTGTCCAATGTTGTTTTTAAAAGATCTTTTTGATTTCATTTAAAGTGAAGTTGAAAGATTTAGATTAATCATGAGTTTAATTTTTAAAAATACTTAAAAATGCTGTTTCACTTTTTTATGCCACTACCCTACATTTAAGCAGGAAATGTGATTGCATCTCTGTTACTCATGGTCATATGATCAGCAGTTAGATCTCATTGTTTTGATGTAAATTTGTCCCAAAGTCTGAAAAATAAAGTTTGAAAGATTAAAGTCCTGAAACATTTCAGCATTTTGGAGGCAATATTATTGTATTAGTATTGACAAAAGGGAATGTTCAGTCATTTGTTTTTGGGGTCACACTTCATTTGGATGGTCCCCTATAGATGATCTACAGATACTTATATTATTAATAAACTTTCTGGTGACAGTTGATTATTAACAACATTAAGGTTAAGATTAGGTTCAGAGTCAGCGTAGGTTTTGCCTTGAGGTTAGAGTTAGTGTTAGGTTTAGGGTTAGGGACAGATTTAATAGAATTCTTCACACGCAACTTCAAGGTCAGTTGCATTTAACACAGATTTAATTGAAAGTTAGTTAAAAATAGACTGAGCATCTTCAAAGCATCTACAGTGGACGATCCAAATAAAGTGTTACCATTTTTATTTAATATAAGGTCATTCAAAGCAGAAGGATTTTAGTCTGAAGTCTAACTTTGAACCGGTTTGGTAGAATAAAATGCTCCATAAAAAATAAATCCATAAAAGATATAGGACATTTATCACTACATAAATGTAGTATTTAGTAACATGTTTGTAGTTTTTGTTGCATCTTAGAAAATTGTGATGAAGGAGGAAATATGGGCTGCTCTTGTAATCTGAAGCTGTAAACACAGCACTGTACTGTGTGGAGAACATCACTTTATTACACTGATAAGAATCAAAGACGTACAGTAACAGTACGTCTTTGATTCTTATCATCTACAGTAACAGGCTTACAGGCTTACTGTCATCTACAGTAACAGTAGATGATAGTAAGCCTTTTTCAAAATTGGTTGAATATTTGGCTCATGACTGAACTTCCTTCTGGAATGTTTTGCTCGATGGAAATGACACTTAAACCCTGTGAACAGCGGCTGCCTCCATTCTTGCAAATGGCATCCATTCCAGGCCCAGCATACTAATTAACTGTTGAAGCTATCAGCAGTAACTACTACAGAACTAGAGATAATATATAGCAAATTAGGAATGCCAGGAAATACACATTTTCCTATTGATTTGGTGTTTGATAATTGGGCTGTTGCTACTTTAATATGATTTATTGTAGAGTTTCCAGCTGTTGACTGAATATACATAATCTATAGTGGAGTTTCAAAAGCTAGACCACAGCCAAGAAAGGTGGGTTCTTGGTAACACCGTCCCATGAAGGCCCATTGTTTGTATTATGTAGTAGCTGCTTTGTCACATCAGTCGGCACATGAAATTGAAAGAGAAAAATTGTTGATGTGAATGATAATAAGCTGGCATAAAGGATAAATGATGTAATGAGGAAGCAAAACATGTTTGTTTGTAACTGAATCCTGCAATGTAGAAAAATGACTGTAAGCAGAAGCATTTCATATCCTCCGTTCAATTTACATCCTCTTAAGCAGATACACAACTAAAGAAATAACATACTCTATATTTTACTGCACATTTTACTGGCCTTTTTACTGTTGCTTTCAGCATCCATCATTAGTGTCTTCAAAGACTGTCAGAACATAGACCGCATTTGGCCGTATCCTTCTGATTAGTCCAGCCTTTGATGACATAGCGGTCTAGAAATGCAGTCCAGCTAGACCACAGCCTGGCTTTTGGAACGCAGCTTGTATCAGTGGCCACCATCACTGCTCTTAAAGATCTGTCTTCCTGCAGACTTTAGCTCCAGCCCTAATCGACCTCACCTGATCCATCTAATTATTACCTTTATAAGTCCTTGATTAACTGAATGGGGTGTGTCAGATTTGGGTTGGAGGTGAAACTTGCAGGAAAGTAGATCTCCAGTATGAGATTTGGTGACCTCTATGTCTATGTACATGCAAATTGTTCTCTAAAAATGTATTGTTCTTGCACTAATATATATTTTTTTGTAAACGGCAGATGCCCTTTACACTGTTTGGACATTTCATGGGGACCAATATGATGCAAAATTCCTTACTCGAATGTATGGAAAAGTCATTTTGTTCCCTCCTCTGATAAAGTTCAGATAACAGCAACAGTGATATGTAAGCTAATGTTTTCCACTGTCAGTGGTTTCCAGCTCTGCCTGTTATCTAGATCTCTTTATCAATAGAAAATCTCTTTCAATCTCTTATAGTATGATCAGTTGTGCCCTTGTGGACTTCCAACCACAGATGACGGTGGCATTGCTGGCAACTACAATTAGGTACAATCAAATAGGACGCAACTTTCATTAATAAATGGTCATTAAATCATTAATGATCACGCTGCTGTTATTGCTTTCTTGACTGAGCTTATCCACCATCTGGGGTGCTGGAGAATGTCTCTGGCTATGATTCTCTGTACCCAGCTCTTGCACTTGTGCCTGCGTGGTATTTCAGTGTAAGAAAAGGATACCGAAAGGGATGCAGAAGCCGGCGCTCTTCTCCTTGTAGCTTGAAGATATAGTACCTTTATTAAGAAAACAGTAACGCTTTATTTGGATGGTCCACTCTAGATGCTTTGTAGTTACTCTGTTTGTCTTTAACTAACATTCAACTAAATACCACTGAAATGCAACTTGAAGTTGTGTGTGAAAGATTATATTAAATGTATCACCAGAGTCTCACCAGAAAGTTTGTTAATAATTATAGATTATAGATTATAATAATAATCTTTGGATCCTGTATTGGGGACCATCCAAATGAAGTGTGACCCAGAAAACATACATTTACCAGAAAATTACACAGAAGCCTCAACAACTAAAAATAATATAATTTTTGTCTGTATTTAGTGTGCCCACAGCTTCCATTCTTTTTAGGAAACCTTTCATAGAAATCTATGGAAGTTAGAAGTTGGGTGCATTTTCTGTGATGGCTTCTTGACAGCTACACATCCTTTCAGACTCATAGTGCTGAGTTGTCTTCTCACTGTGGAAGGATGGATCCTTATCTGTCCTATCTCTCAAAGATGAAAACTTTTTTTATCTGATGGTTTTGGTGGTTTTGGTGGTCTACCAGGTCTTGGATAGCTGCATAGTCGGTCAAGTTTTGGAAACTTTTTTTTCACTTAGTTTCCTTTGACTTTCTATGTCTTTATACAGTCTCTAATCTCGTCAGAAATAACTCGTACTTAAAGGGAGGCTCTACTAGGGTTTCAGGATTTCTATATAATTGGATGGTTAAGATGTAAACATGTCATTCAGAGTGGTTTGATGTGAAATGCTTTGTTCTAGAGAAACTAGATGAACTTACTGAGTCAGAATTGTTCGCAGTGGTGGTGATAGGAACCAAATGTCTGCAGAGTTGAATGCTTCTAAAAGCTCCCTCATAAAATGGTGCAAGGATACACTCAGGCTCACTAGTGGTTTGGGATAATATATAAAATGGCTATATTTGTGTTCCAGACATCAAGACCCCTGGTTCCTATCACCACTACTGTAAAGAAATCTGTCTGTTACTTTCTTTCCAATGAGCCATTTTACATCAGGCCACTCTGAATGAGTTTGTTTACATCAGTACGATGAAATAATGCAAACATTCTGAAAAATCGGTGGAATGCCCTTTTAATGGTCATCTTAGCTGGAAGATAAATAAATGAAGGTGCTCTCTGACTTGTGCACAGTATTCTGTATTTATTGCTGTAGGCTACTACTGTAGTATTTCTCCAGTAATATATTTCAAATGAAGAATTCTCTAAAGATAGCGGCCCCTTTTATTCTGCAGCAGTACAGTATTGACCTTTCTGTACTTTGATATGGATTACAGGACATTACAAGCAAATACTACAGCTGCCAACTGCCTAGAAATGCAGCTTTACAGCTTTATAATATGGGAATTGATTCAAACACTTCTGCATGACTTGTGTGATATTTTACAAATGGTGCCAAGCTGCAATTCAGCGCCATCCTTACACTGTAAATACCACTTAAACAAGCGCCCGCCAGTACAATTGCAGGTTTCGATTCATCCTGTGGGCAAACGTCACTTGAACTTACTATAACACTTATCCGTCAAGCTGAGTCTCTCAGGTTTCCACACCACTTAGCCTATAATACTGTGTTTCCTGACCACGTCACTTTACACTTTAACATGTCCAATGCTTCAAGTGTTCTTAGTTACTGTTGCGCACACTATCAGATTAAGTCTGTTCAGAATGACCAAGTGAAGATACCATTGCTTTTCCTTACACATGTTTATTGCTCTCTGTTGCTTGACTGTTAGATCCAACTGTATTCATTGAAATTGACAAACTTCAACACAACTTCAGTTTGACATTCTATAGTGTAATGTGTTCATCCAAACACCAAAAGACAACATTTAGAATATTTAACCATTTATTTTATTATTTACTTAAAATCATGTATTTTATGTAAGTGGTACATTTAGGAGATGCTTTTGCAGCCCTCTCTTTACAGGTCCTCAAAAATCAAATATAAATGGTGCTCACTGATTTGTGACAAGGGGCTTCCAGAAAAGAACAATGAGGTCTTGAGCTGTGCTGAAACATCTGAGTGAGAGGGGAGGAGGCAGCAGCAGTCTGATGATTCAGGAGAGAACCATGGCCTGGAATTCTGTTAGAAAGGAAAAACAAATTCAGTTCCATCATATGAATTGATCATGCTCCATCTACAAATGTATTCTTTCGTAAGAACTGATGTGAGGTTGCATATATATATATATATGTCAATTGCCTGTACTAAATATATATATAAATATATATTTATATATATAATATATATAAATGGTTCTTTGTACGGTTAAATGGTTCTTCTCTATGATGGAAAACTTGTATATGGTTCTTTGAAGAACTATTATTTAACTTCTTATTCTATTTAGCATAAAAAATGGTCTGCAAAAGTCAAAGGACCTTATTTTGGTACTACATAAATGCCTTTTTGATCAGAGTGTAGGCAGGTTGGAAATAACGATTTTACTATAAATATTACATCCAATCTATCCTGACAATGTCAATTTTCACAGGCATACAAAAATAAATATCATTTGAAATTAATAACATGCTCTAAATGACCATATCTTGACAAAAACTGGATTAAAGCTTAAGCATATGTAGGTGGAGCATGGACAAGTTCACTTCAGAATACACTGATAAGACATGAGGTTATATTATTATATAATTGCAGTGAAGCCTAATTTAGCTTCGCAAAAATATGTCATGCCTTTATATTGTTATTATCTTTTTCCATTGACTTAACAGGCTTAGCCATTAACCCTTATAAAAAGCACAGAAGTGATTCCGTACTGCAATAAACTGAGTTATTTCCATAAGACTTAAGCTATTGCTCTTGTCTTAGTACACCATGCTTGGTGCACTGGGACACATAAAACAAAGATTTTCCATCATGCTCATAGTGGATGGTAGTTATACTTACCCTCTGCTCCGATTTTGCCATCGTTGTCATCATCGGCAGCTGATAGGAAGGCCTTGGTCTCTTTGTCGGTCAGAACACGGGCTCCAGGTGAAAACCTCTGCAGGAAGAATCTACAAACACAAACAGAATCATGTGAACTCTTGTGGCTCTTGATGACATAACCATGTATATATAAGGAGTCCTTACACAACCATAATGTCTAGATTAAGTGTTATGTGAGCTGTGGTGGTAGATTACCTCACACCAAAACCATGAAAATATGTTCAGATCTCTTAGTGACACACAGACGAAGTAGGTTTAACAAGAGGAAAACTGCAGGGTTTATTATCCTTATCTTTTTCCTACACGAGGGCTGTTGAAGGTTTGGCCCCCGGCCAAAGTAGGCCTGTGAGGACGTTTGATTTGGTCCTATGGGAAGTTACCCTAAGCCCTCACCATTGCTCAATTTTTACCTGGTTTTAACCATAGATCACTTATTTAACTCTCAATTTCCTCCATGAATGACACACCTAAGACAAAAAAGTAAGACCCTGTCTTATACATTTTTAAGGCCTCGGAAAAGGGTGATCAGAGAACATCTCCTGGGTGAACGGTCCAGGTGTCATTGTGTTCGTGGTTCTTTGCCGAAACTCTTTGAAAGGGTTCAATTTGATGCAAAATAGTCAGGTACAAGTTGAAGGACCTCAAAATAGTTTTTTATCTTTTAATAGTGCAAATCTATATAATCTTTATAAAGTGCAGGTGCTCAGTGTTTCTCATAGTGAGTTTGTTCATTAACTCCTAACCCAAAATCTAGTAGGCCTATAAACTATATTCAAGTGCCATTAAACTGTGAAATTAATAGAACTCTGTACACTGTATGGAAATGTATAAATTTGCTAGAGTTTCATACTTGAGCTCTTCCTCCTCAATGTAGCCACTGCCATCGTTGTCGAGAATGCCGAAAACGGTCTTCACCTCTTGGGGACTTTTCTTGGTCAGACCACACAGCTGGAAGAACTTCTTGTGATTAAAGGAATCTGGTGCTTTTTGGGCGAGAAAACAGTGGTAAGTGATATAAAAGTAAAGCAGGCAGAAAAAGATCATCAGCACATCTTTATATGTTATTCTATATGAAGCCCCGCCTGGTGCTAAACATCAGCTTATCTAAAGATGGTGGTGAGATAATCTAAGGTAATCAGCAATGCAGCATATATCACGCTATGATAAGAGCTGAACTGGTACATTTTAGTCAACTGGAGGCCCAAGTTCATGCCTTTACCCACTGTACCCATCACAATTTACTTATCTAGCTAATGAAAGAGCTCTAGCCAGGTGATATCGCCTGTGGTAAATCGATACCTTGGCAGTCCTTGATAGCACTCTCGATGGCATCAGCGGAAAGGACAGATGAGAGCGACATAGTCCTGAGGAACAACCGTTTTGAATTATTAACACATTTTCAACAGGATACCTTTTTGAAGAAGCATCACCATAAAGCCAGGTCTAAATATACAGATCTCAATAAAAATAGTAGTTAAACATGTGCAGAGGTTCCACTGTTAACATTTATTATTAAGGCACTTCTTTAAGCTAACAGTAGCCACACAAGCAGGAGGCACAATGAATGAGACAGATAGAGGGCGCTCTAAGCGACAGGGTGAGCAGCCTGAAGAGAGAATTCAGCTGTCACTGAATATCAGGACAGGACAGGTCCTGAATAATATTATTATATTACAACAGGTAGATAAATGAAAAAAAAGGCAATATCCTACAGTAAATTAATGGGGAAAAATAGTATTACACAGAAACTCTACATAATAAACAGTGCAGCACTTCAGCATCAGAGACAGAATCTGCTACTGTTAACAAAGTGCAGCGGCTAATTTAAAATAAGGCAGCAAGCATCGTTTCTTAAAGTGTGACGTTATCTGATGTTTCGTAATGCCTGATTCCACACTGCATATAAAAGTAGCAAGCATCGTTAAAAAATACAGACAGAAAAACAGAAGCAAAATGTGACGAAATGAAGCAATCAAATAAAAAAAAGAAAGAGAATGGAACTGAAGCAAAAGAGAAGGAAAATGCGATGATATAAAAAAGGAAAAAAGAAAGCAAAAGGCAACGAAACAAAGCAATCAAACAAAGAAAGAAGGGAAATGAAGCAAAGAAAGAGAAAAATAAAAAAAGGAAAAAGTGACGAAACAAAGCAATGAAACAAAAAAAGAGAAAAGAGAAATGAAGCAAAGAAGGAAAGAAAGAAAAAGGAAAACGTGACGAAACAAAGCAATCAAATAAAAAAGAAAGACGAGGAAAGAAAAAAAAAAGAAAGAAAGAGAGGCAGGGTCTGCAGAGTGAGAGAGTAAAGCCCCTCCGGCTGTGTCCGCGTCCTGCCCGGTGAGTCCACACTTACCCTGTGCAGTAGGTGCGAGCAGGTGATCCGGCGGAGAGGGAAGGCTGTGTGGTGAGCGCTGTCCGTCAAACGGGGGATTTATATACGTCTGATTGCGGTGACAATGGGCAATTCTTAAGTTACCTGTCTGTGGATCAAATTCGAACTGCCAGGCCCGGATCAAATTTCCTGCCTAACTAATTAACCTTTACTATTTATATCCAGCCAGGAGCTGAGTGTGGACAGCCTAGTCCCGATACTCTCTTTTAAACGAGAAATTAAATAATAGGAGCTGTGATGTCTATTGTGTTTTTTCGCCTTTTCTATGTCCCGCCCACCTCAGTTCATCATCAGAAAAAAAGCTCACTCCATCCATTCCTACATCGCTACCTCTTTGAACCCAATGGCTCCCACACACACACACCCGGGTTCTCCAGCTCTGTTATTCTACGCGCGGTTGTATTCACTATTATGTAATTAGTCAGTTGGAAAAACAGTGTCTGAACCATGTGTCTGAGATGATAAAGGCATGAATGAAGAAAATCTTTACATTTAGTAATCTTTGTTTTGTTTTTTAAGCCTCTGTGGAGCACTTTGAAAAAACAAACTGATATATACAAATTACAAATAGTGTTTAATACATGTCAGCTTGTATTGTAATTACGAAAAGGTACATGCAGGGCGTTGTGCAGCAAAATAGTGCCCAAAGGATTTTTTTTTGGATTTTTTAGGATTTACCACGATTTTACTATGATCTACTTCACATATCATTGCTGTTTAGGACAAAACCTTGTATATCCATTTTTGCTGTTATTAATTTTTTGTCATAATCTGAAAAGGCCATTTGCCCTTTATGACGTGTCAAAATTTCATGATGAACAGACCAACAGAAATGCTCCAAAATTTCTTGGGAAAAAGTATTTGTCCATTCACTTCCATTAAAAGTTATGACTGTTTTTCCATGTCCTGTAAAGTTACTTTTTTGGAGATGTTTTTGCTCCAACGGCAACGATATGTAGGTTTTGGATAGCATATAAAATGGCTATATTTACATTTTCGACATTGGACCCCTGGTTGCCATCAGCACCACTGTAAAGACATCTGTAAAGAGTCAGTAGGTTTCTTCACAATAAACCATTTCACACCGGCCACTCTGAGAGGCTTTTTTTCATCTCAACCACTGAATTATGATGTTTTGAAAAATCACTGGAGTTGCCCTTTAAAGCCTCATACTGTCTCTATGAATCTCACTCTTTTAAATCCCCCAAAATCTGCCCACCAGATTTATTATTTATTTCTGCTGTTTTTGTCCCTAATCATTCCTAAATTTCTTCTGTTCCATGCTGTCAGACTGCACTCTCTCAACAGATGGAGGTCTGTCTCTCTCTCTCTCTCTCTCTCTCTCTCTGTCTCTCTCTCACTGTCTCTCTCTCTCATGCATACATGTTTCCACACAGTACTGTATTTGTTAATCAAAGAATGTTCTGGTCACAGTAAACACTTGGCTGTTGTTTTTTCCTCACTGCCTTACTGATTCAGGTATGTAAGGTCATGTTTTTGCTGGCACCCAGCGGCACCATATATTTTGGCATACTGTAATCAGTGTCCACTATGCACCTGCCAAGAACATTTATTATGGAAGAGGAGCAGGTCATGTTGCCTGTCAGCTCACCAATGAGAAATGAACTCCTACAGAGTTAAATTAGACTCAGTTTACTTCCAGTTGGATTTGATTCAAATGCTGGTGTTTTTATTGTGTTATTATGCCTTTCAGATTGGCCTTATTTACTCACAGGCCTACAAAATCATCCTTTGTAGTAGTCTGAGGTCATTTAACGTCGTTTAAGGTCATTTAAGGTGTAAGCGGATTCTTTATTCCAGCGGTGTTACCTGTGATACCCCTGATACCTGACCAGTGACACGGTACCTGCATTCTCAGTTGGGTAGTTCTTGTTACACCCATTTACACAAAGTCTTCTTTTTTCTTCTGAGTTGTTCTTTAGGGTTACTTTAGTGTGAATAAGAACCCTGTCAACATACAGTAGTGTGCAGAAGTCAGAGGCTACCATTTTGTTTACTGAATTTCTAGTGAAACAAGGTATAATTTTTTGTGTGTCAGAAAAAAAGCAGGAAACATATATTTAACAGAAAAATGACAAAAAAGCCTCCAACCCTGAGCGAATTATCAAATCTATTAGAATTGAATTTCTCTGCTGTTTACTTTTGAGCACTCTACTGCCACTTTAACACTTTAATCCCTCTTAAAAAGATACTAGAACATTTGCGCCAGCAACCACCTAAACGCACTTCAGATGCCTTACAAAGTTCTTTCTCATGTGTGTCTAAAATAGCTAAAGGAGATATTTCTAAGGAAATAGAGAAAAAATAAGGTAATTTACTCACATATGGAAGGTAAAAGTCACAGAAAAAACAGGAGTTTCCAAAACTGGAGTTAAAAATTAATAAAAGATACAAAGAAAATGGAACAGTGCTCTTAAAAAAGATGGTTCTTTAAGGGTTCTAGAGAAAAGGGAATGGTTCTGTTTAGAACTTTGAGTAATATGTAGAACCATTTCATGCTTAAGTAGTTCTTTGCATGGTGAAATGTTCTTCAGACTGATGGAGAATGTGTTGTACGTGGTTCCATACAGCACCAAAAATGGTTCCTCTATTATTAGAATGTTAAGCTTGTAACAATAGAAGAACATGTTTTGGTGCTATACAGAACCTTTTTTCAAAAGGTTTCTATATAGAACCATATACAACACATTCTCCATCAATCTGAAGAACACACTTCACCATGCAATGAACCATTTAAGTATATATAGAACTTATTTTGTATACAGAATCATTGCCTTTACTAAAGAACTCTTGAAGAACCACCTTTTTTAAGTGTGAGTACAAAACCTTCTAGACTACCTAAAATATCACCACACAAAAACTCTTAAAAAGCATCTACAGCACATTCTCCATCAATCTGAAGAACCCTTTCATGATGCAAAGAACGCTTTAATCATGCAAAGCGTTAACTGAATGTTCATGGTTCTATATACAACCATTTTCTTCCATAAAGAACCCTTGAAGAACTGTCTTTTTAGTAAGTGTAGACTGTTTTTCATAAAATCAAGCTCCACTCTTGCTTCAGATCTGATAAATCCACAGGTGTCCATCGGGCCGATGTGAGAAGAGAACTCAACACTATGTGTCTGAAAGAATGTGTGGCTAAAGAAAAAAGAAACTGGAGAAATGGGATTGCTTATTATCGTGAGGAACAGAAAATGCAACCAACCTCTAAGACTGAACTTTGGAGGTGTTTAAAAATATCCCTGCAGATTTCTTCTAAAGAATAAAAAACAAGTCTGTGGAAAAGAACGGAAGCTGTAATAAAGGCAAAGAGTAGCCTGGATGAATACTGTTTTTTTTAGTTTAGTTGTTGAGGTTTCTGTGCAATTTTCTGATAAAAATCTGTTTTCCTTTTTTCCCTGATACTCAAAAAACTTGTATGTAATGGCTGTTTTGTCTGGAAATTAAATACATTAAAGGGTTGTCTCTGACTTTTGTATCATAGTGTATCAAGAGTCTCAAAACTCTGATGCAGTGAGAACCTTAATTAAAGTTAAGTTACCACAGGGCTGCATCTTCTTCATGATATCGCAGATAAATACGCTAGTAAGCTCTCACTTCTGAGATTTCCCACTGAAATATGGCCTACAGTCGCATTTAACGTTTGTCCAAATTGTAAGGAAACCAGAGCAGAAGAACAGAAGATTTCTTTCATACAATTCTTTCTCCATGTCAGAGACTGGATGTGGAGAATCCTTTAGTGTCAGGTAGAACCATTTATTTTTTGCTTTTTACATTTTGCAAAAGTTCCACTTTGTGCCAGAAAAGTTCTCCTACATTGAAAAAACTGTAGAATTACTAAAGGAGCTTTCATTCGAGACTTTAGGTCTATATATTGGTTGTTTCAATTAATATGTTCATCATCATTAGTCAGTGTATTTGTTACCTGCTTTTTTTCAGCAGGTAAATGAAGCCTATAATTTGTGGTTATGGAAAGAAGGTGTAGGCTCCTCTGTGAAACCACAGAGAAGCTGGTGGAACAGTAATTGCCACGTGTGAAGTTTTGAGGATTTATCTTCACATATTCTATCATTTAGCTATTAATATAGCTTTGTGCTGGATATGTAAGGGTATGTACTACTTGATACCTGGTTTTATTTCATGGTTTACCTTTATACTTTAACTTTGGCAATGCATCTATATCTAATAGTGATCTGTCTCACCTGAAGTTTGTCCTCACATTCTGAGCGTAAGGTGACCTACTACAATGAAGATAGAAACCCAAGAGTTTGGCACGCTCACATGAGGATGAGACTGATGAGGACACCGGATCCAGTTGTACTTCTTATTACCCATAGGCCATGATGTCATGCACTAAGTCAATAACACATGTCCACTGGCTTAGTGTATCTCAGCTAAAGCCCTGGAGGACCCCTGCACTGTGTGATTTTGGTTTTTCACTGATTCAGCTCATGCACACCTGAATGCCTGATGAGTTTGATCAGATGAGTCATTAGGGTTTGGTGTAAAGATCTCCAGGAGCAATGGCCACATAGAAAGGCCTGTTAGGTAATTGGCCATGTCCGCTCATTCACAAGAAAGCACTGCCATCTACTGGACAACTCAAGCACAAGCAGTTTTACAGACTTAATGACATCACTTGACACCTGCCAGAAGGTAGACCACTGCTCCTGCTGTGATGTTGCAGTAGTAGGTTATTAAATAACCATTGTGATATTGATGATGATGGATGAGTACAAGCTTATAATGAGGGTGATGGAGGTGTGTGAATATGAGAATGATGATGGGCCTGATGATATCCCTATAGCCCACACTAATTTGTATGCAATATATCATTTTCATAGCACATTCCTTTGGCTGTTTGGTTTAAGTGTTCCTATCAAGCTCCTCTACTATCTGATAACAGACTTATGATTGGGATGTCATATGCTGTTTCATTCTGCTTGTGTTCTAAATTTTTAGGCCTGTTAAAACCACAAGAAACACATACATCATAAGTTTTGGAATGAATGGAGAGAAAGTCGATATTGCAAAAGAATATTTATTCTTTTCTTATCGTCCGTTCCCGTAAAAGTGCATTAGATTTTACAGTAAGCAAAATTCATATTTAAGACAGGATACACAGCCGTGCTACATTCACAATCATCATTTTGGACAGTGTGCTGCATGGGAGGAAACTTCTCATAAGCATAGGTATAAAAATTATTTATAGTCAGATGAAAATGGGAGGTCTTGGGCAAAGTTGTTCCTTCAGAGCAAGAGGTGTTGGTCAGAAGCAATTTATGCCTTAACCAGGCTAGCGAACTCTGTGAGGAGAAAAGAAAAAAGGGGTCAACAGTGAAGCCAAGCAAGACCCAAGAACCTTTTTTTTTATCATTGTGTGTTTAAGAGAAGAAAAAAATAAACACCCACCATCAGCTCCGATCTTGCCGTCACCGTCGGTGTCTCCAGCCTTCAGGAAAGTCTTGGTCTCGGCGTCAGTCAGTGCCCTTGCACCGGCCTGGAAGTTCTGCAGGAACAGCCTGAGGAGAGAGCATGAGCATGCAGGTTAGCATTAGCACTTAGCCAGTGTGCGAAGTACCCCCCATTATTTGGGGGGGTCCCTTGTTGGCTGACTACTAACAAAGCCCTTATAAGAAAGCCTGTTCACTTGGCAGCCATCTTGGCAACGCTGCTGGGCAGTTATTTCCAGCCATGCAAGACCAGAATCTCTTTAAATGGAAAGAGACCAAAATACTCGAAAGTGAAGGTCAGATTACTGTATAGAACAATATTTGAAACCACTGATAAAATCTGACAAAAACCTAATAGTTTGTCATGTTTGGTTCAGTGACACACAGTAAACCGGGTTGTTCTGGCTACTGTACTTGCGCAGATCTTGACAACAGGAGGGGGCTTTTGCCGCTTGGGGCTTAAGCAGCAAGCTGGTTGGCTCTTTTTATTGAAGGGCGGGAGTTTCTCTGCAGATGCATGACATGTTGAATGTTACGAGCTTTCCCATTCATATTTTAACCGGTTACCATCTCCTCCTTTATAACGTCTCTAGTGTTGACTCAACTTCAATGGCAACACAAATGTTTGGTTTAACAGTTCTTCGTTTGGAAATGCTCTTTTGGTCATGTGACAGACAGCAAATAAGTTTATTTTCAGGGACCCCCCCAAGAAATTTGAATTTTCCCTAGGACCTCCTGTATTTAACACCTTGCAGCCCACACTTTCTTTCTTTATGACTGAATGAATCGGTCAGTGTATGAAGTGATCTCTTACTTAAGCTCGTCCTCCTCAATGAAGCCACTCTTGTCCTGATCAATGATGGCGAAAGCCTTCTTGACATCATCAGCAGATTTGCCAGTCAGACCAACCTTCTGGAAGAAGGCCCTGTGGTCGAATGAGCCGTCGGCTGAGAGACAAATGAAACATATTATAATAATGCTGATACAATAATGTAAGTAATGTCAAATGTAAATCAAAGTGTGTAAAATGTAAATAATACTACTACTGCCACACTTTTCTAATCTGTTTATTGTTATTGAGACACCCTAACAAGTCCTGCCATGTGAACAAACTACTTGAAATCATAATACCTTTGCATGCATCCAGGGCTGCAGCGACATCAGCGGCGTTCAGGATTCCGGCGAATGCCATCTTTAGCTGAATGAGAAAACAAAGACATATATAAATGATATAGCCAACAATAATAAAATATCAATACATACATGATATGTGTGACATGCAGCACTAAGACACCCCCATCTTCAAATCCTCTATCAAATGCTCTCAAAGCTGCCTTTAAACAATGCATATGCAGTTTGGCTTCAGGTCTTACTGAAGTCCACATTACATTTCTTAATTGCTTTTAGAATTTAGTCTCTCTCACGATTTAATATCCAGCCTTTTGCCAGTATGCAATCAGGCTGTCCCAGGAAAACCGCCAAGAAGCGGGCAGCAATCTGATCCACGTCACATTGGCTCATTATAACGACGTTATATCCCAAAGGTCCAACATGTGACGATGTGGTCCTTTAAAAAAAAACCCAAAACAACAATGAAGGAGGAGGTAGGGAAGCTCCCCCTCACATCCAAAGTGAAGTCCAGAACGGATTCAGAGGAGGTGAATTTCTTTACTTTTTTCTTTTCTTTTTTGGACCATCAGTAAATAACGGTTTGGAGGCTTAGTGCAGATGCATTGTTACAGAACTGCAGATCCCATTCAGGGCGACAGTTTGCTTCTTCCTCTAAAAATCTCAGCAGGTGTCCCTGCAGTGGTGGTCCCCGCGGAAGGGCTCCTGTTTGTATGGGCTGGAAACTCACCTCTTGGGTCTTTCCTGTGGGTGGGAAGATTCAGAAGACTCGAGCAAACTGCAGTGAAGCCGGGCCCGCCGATCTCCACCTTATATACTCCCACGCCGCCGAAATATGAGGCATAATGTAACGGACACCCAATGGAAGGGGGCTGCCTGAAACGCGGCCAAGCAGAAGGAGCGTACTATATTTATCTGCATTAAATGAAGATGCTTAAAAGGTGAGTTTGAAAAAAAAAAAGTTCCTGATATCGCGCATTGCTAATAATACACGCTGCTGAGGCGGTTGAAACGGCGGCTGCTGGCGAAAGTGGCTAATGTGGAGAAGTGCATGTATGGATATCACGGTGGGCAGTTGGAGTCCAGCGCTGGCACGACAGAGGACACAGCTCGGCTCGCCCTTACGACGCGCCAGAGTGCCTTTTTACTACAAGATATCAGAGTTTGCTTTTTATCTTGAAGCTAATGTTAAGGAATGTTATGTTAGCTTCGCATTTGCAGCCAAAGAACTTCGCAAGCTTGATTAGATTTTATCAGCCTAGCTTTTTAAGCACGAAATGTACAAGTACAACGTACTGTTAACGTTATTCGGCTAGAGATACAAGGATGAAGTCCATTTAAGCGTATTTACTCACTTTCAAAGCGATAAATGCCTTTTTTTTGCTAAATATGTAGCATGTTGAACGCTATTTTGCTACGTTTGCTAAGTTTGAATAAAAACAAACAGAGCACCTTCAGTCTGGCACATTTTTTCATGTATTTCTCACATTTTCTCATCTGTACTCGATTCTTTCGTATGTTTCGACTTTTATTATTAATTTTTTGAGCGATATTTTTATTTTTAACTTGTATAATTTGTCTCACAGTGCTCTTAGCAAAATACTCTTTTTTAGTTTAATTTTGAGCCCTATTATATTTATTTATCAACCTGACGGCTGCATCCTCTTGTAGACAGAAGGGGGCAGCACTATCCCACCTGACCAATAAGGTAATAAATATTTCCGTCAGCTGGACTGTAAGTTACTGCTGCACGCACTTGTTTGTGTCAGTTTCACTGAATATTAATCTGTTTTTTTTTATTTTTTTTTATTTTCCCTTCATGTCTTCATGACCAAAGATAAAGCATGTTACTGAAATACCTTCAGGCTGTTAACTAATTTGGTGTTATCCAGCTATTAAGCAATTAAAATTATTAAGTTTATTCTTTTTGGAAGACCTGACCAGCCCCTCTGTCTAAGTGCTATTCTGAGCATCCAGGAAGCCACTATGGACTGTAACTGGACATGTGAAAAGTATCCTTTGCAAATCCTTTCCAATGCATCCCAGTAAATCTCTGGGCCTTCCCTCAGCAGCTAGAGTGCCAAAACTGTGCTGTTCCTTTTCAGAGCCCCCCAACCCCCCCACCCTGAGGGTGTTATTCTAATAGGTGCCCCTTGGCAGCAGGTGACAAAAGAAGTGAAAAAACCACCCTAAGCGCAAAGACATTTTACACCAAAACTACATTTATTCCTTGTTTTTCACTCTTCCCCGGAAGTGCATAAGAGACATTTGCACAAGCCAACAGGCTTGAAATAAAACACGTCCAAATAACATTAATAATACACTATAAGGACACTGTGTTCAATGTCAAGTAGATTGTCCAAAGTCAGTTCATAAATACGATATAAAAAATATGATCTTAGGTCAGCTGCGAGAGAGTTGTGAGCAGAAGCTTGAGTTCTGGTTCCATGAACTGAGATGGGTCTTGGTCAGAAGGAAATTTATGCCTTTACAAGAGCAGCGAACTCTGTGAGATAGAATAGAGATGAAACTACAATTAGTAAATTCTGTAAAAAACACCTACTTAGCTATTCCCTAGCTTAGATGATTACTGGCCATTCATATTATTATTGCCGGTCACTGATACTGTTGGCTTATCGCTTAGTCTTAAGCTACCTAGTGTCTTCATATTCAAGAATCATTCATTCAAACATTTACTAAGTAGGGCCTAACTAATGATTTCTATACTACTTAATCTGCATCTGCATTGCTGAAGTTGACTTATGTCATGTGAGCAGTGGGTCAGTGCATATTGAATTACCATCAACTCCGATCTTGCCGTCACCATCACTGTCACCAGCAGCAAGGAAAGCCTTGGTCTCTTTGTCAGTCAGTGCCCTGGCACCGCTCTTGAAGTTCTGCAGGAAAAGCCTGTAAAGACAGCGCAGATGTTTTTAGTTGGCTTCATTCATAGCTCCGCTGGCTCAGACACTTGCCAGTGGTTTGGGTAGAATTACGATGGATGATTGACTGATGCCAAGAATGAGCTCTTACTTCAGCTCCTCCTCCTCAATGAAGCCGCTGTTGTCCTGGTCAATGACGGCGAAAGCCTTCTTGACCTCATCGGCAGACTTGGAAGCCAGGCCAACCTTGGCAAAGAAGCTCTTGTAGTTGAAGGAGTCAGCAGCTGAGGGTTGAGAATATTGTGAAATTACTGACACAATGTACATGATCATCTGTGATGTGCTGAGGAACCTATGTTGTCCATCCATTCGAGTCAGAAATCTCATCTGTATTCCTTTTGGGTTTTTCTCTTAGTAAGAGAAAGATTTGTAGTAATTCTACACATAAAAAGATAGTTCTTCAAGGGTTCTTTAGTAAAGCTGATAGTTCTATTTAGGATCATGAGTTCTGTACAGAACATTTCATGCCTAAATGGTTTTTTGCAGGGTGAAATGGTTTAGATTGATGGAGAACGTGTTGAATATGGTTCTATGTAGAAAAGGGTTATAAGTTTGATATTATAACAAATGAAAAACGCTTTTCGTCCTATACTGAAATATTTTCAAAAAGGTTCTATAAAGGCAGTGGTTCTGTTTTGTCCATATACAACATACTCCATCAACCTAAATAACGATATCACCACCCGAAGAACCCTTTAAACATGTAATGGCTCTATACAGAACCCATGGTTTAAACTTTACTAAAGAAACCTTGAAGGACCATCTTTTTACAGCAACTTCTACAAGAATCTTATAGTAAATTCAGCCAATTGCTATAGTTTACTACGGGATACTACACAAGAACTGCAGATGACTATAAAACAGTACTATGAGGCAAAAGATCTTATAGATTATTATAAAAGTATTGTTTACCACTATAGAAATATCACAGTTTCTTATGACTATAAGATTCTATAGAAACATCATCACTGTATATCTTTGTAAGGATCCCTCTGAATGCTATTTTAAATACAACTGATACTTAAAAATTGAGATTTAATCAGATATGTAGTGAGGAAGGACCACCTTACCCTCACAGGCAGCAATAGCTGCGTTCACATCAGCATCAGCCAGGATTCCAGCGAAGGCCATTTTTTCTAAATCTGATCAAGCTGCAAAAACAACAGGCAGTAAGTTCTTGGTATATTTTGCATAAGAATGATTCAGAATGAAATGAAATGCCAGTTCTAATGTCTTATAGCCTCCTTTATTTGTAGCTACGCTAATTATTTTGTTTTTATCGTATCTGTGGTACAGTTAGCTGAATATGCTAACGCGTAGTAACGAAACAAGAGTCGTTGTGTGCGCATGCGTGATGAGAACGATTGTGCAGAAAAGTAGCAGCGTCACACGTTCTATTCTATTCTATTCAGACTGGTGTCAATACAGATTTATCAATCTCCAGTTCACATAAACCATGACGGCCCGATGTTTCTCTTGTGATGGGACTCCACAGCAAATCTCCAGCACTGAATTCACACCGGAGGTGTTGCGTTAACACCAGCAGCTGGACACTAATGGACCTTGGAGTTCAACGCTGGAGATGTTTGCTGTGTGGAAGAGCTAGAAGGCATGCTAACAGGCCCTGATGTTCTCCCCCCCTTCAGTTTCGATGAATCATCCTCAGTGATCCAATCACAAACGCCTCCGTTTCACCAACTAAGCGCTGAATTCAGCACTGCACATTCAGTAAGTCCAATTTGTTCTGCTTGGCCAGCGCTAATGTAGATGGACTCCTCAATCACTAAGACCATATTCCAAAGACGAGCGTCCGCTGCTTTTCTTTAACACGACTGCTGTGTTCGCAACAGCCTCCTAAACTCTCTGCAGGCCTGAAGACTCTCTGTGTTTTTTTCCTCAGCGAAAGGAAAGCATCGTGCATCATCTCTCACTCACCTTGCGCTCCTCCAAGGCGAGTGAAAAAGCAAAGGAGTAAGTCGAGGTGTGCCCTTGGGACCCTTGCTGGCCTCCTTATATACCCCTCGACTTCTCACCATACAGCAGTTTGGGCCTCAGTAATAGATACGGCACATGGACCTTGCGAATAGTTTCGAGTGAAAAAATGTGTCCAGTAGTCAAGTTGGGCTATTTTTATCCCCTCAAATGATGCTCAAAAACATGTGTGCGACGTATAGACTCGCCCTGCTCCTCCTATATCGGCTGCTATCCATTCTCACCTTATCAGCCACTTACACTGCAGACTAATTCCTTTAGGTTGGTGTCATGTCTCCAGCAAAGCCACTGCTAAACTGTTTGTAGGTATGAGTTAATTAACCAATACTGTTGGCCTACATGCAGGCCTAGTACCTGAAAGTGTTAAACAGACGCAACATATCATTTTACTAAGAAACACATTAAATTACAGTTAAAGCAAGAGGAAATATCAATTTTACTGTAAATTTTATGACTGTATATTAATAACTCTGGAAGCCTGATAGACTACTGTTTGACTTTTAGGCACATTTGTTTGGGCCTAGGCTGTGTCTCCACTGGTGAAGATACCAAAAGAATAAAATAAAAAAAAAAAATTAAATGTGCACCTGCGTTTGAGCACACGTTTATTTAACCACAGTGTTGATTAAATTTAAGTTACACATAAGTGTTTAAAGTTCTGTACATTAGCCTCTCCTAATATACAGTACTGTGCAAAAGTCAGAGATCACCCTTCATGTATTTAAGTTCTAGTCAAAATGGCCATTAAGTACAAGTTACTCATTTTTCAGCATAAGGAAAACTTGAAAAAAAAATTTAACAGAAAATTACACAGAAGACTCAACAATTATTATAATACTTTTAGCATTTTCTCTTTGCTTTTATTACAGCTTTCATTCTTTTTGGCAACAAAAAAAAATGCAGGGATATTTTTTTCAGTGTTACCAAGAAATACATTGAAACATAGATAAAGCAGACCAAACATCAATTATAGTCATTATTATGCAGGGCTCCAGACTGCGACTGAAATGGTCGCAATTGCGACCACAATTATTAATTTGCGAGTAATAAAATGAATTAACTCGCCAGTGGCGACAGGTAGCAACTTTGGATTATTATTATTAATTATATGGGTAACTATTTATCACTATTGTTCTGTATTTATTACTTTTTTGTTTTTATTTTACATTTTCTTTTAGCACCTGTCCAGGGTGTATCCTGCCTTCCGGCCAGTGACAGCTGGGATAGGCTCCAGCACCCCACCGCGACCCAGAAGGATAAGCGGTTTAAATGATGGATGGATTTTCTTTTAGCATTTTTTTTTTATCTTAAAATGTAACCGCCGACTTTAGCGTCACATCAATCACAAAATCTACGTCTCTGTCAGACCTTAAGAGGTGATCTGCTCAACCCCAGTCTGACCCAGGACCAGTGAACCAGTGAAAGACGTACACTAAGATGTACTTTAACAGCCGTCACTTCATGCAGAAGAACAACCACAGGAAGATTTCAGAACTTCTTGGCTACAGGAATTAGCGTGACTCAGATATGGTAACATAAAGCAGACTATACTGCGAATTATGTCCGAAAGAAGCCAAGATACAGCTGGAAAATGGATTTCTTAACAGGAACGAATCATTTCAAAAGAGGCGGTGAAAAAACACGGTCGAACGCATAAAACACACGAGATTTCATTATTGCAAGAGTGCTCCTTAAGGAAACTTCCTTAGCTCGTGCAGTGTCTCGTGCAAGCGAAAAAACAGCCGAGAAAGAGCTCAAAGAGCTGAAAATTGAATTCAACACAGCCTAGGTGACAGAACGTGAAGAACAACCATTGACCAAAGTCACTTCCCAAATCTCATTAACGAAAAGCAGCGGACTGGATGTGTCGAGAATCAGCCACGGTGGAAGGCAGAGATACTTAAAGGGGAATCCATCGATTTTTCAAAATTTCTGTACAATTCAGCAGTTGAGATTTAAACAGTCATTGTTTTAATGTGAAATGGTTTATTAGCAGAGAACTTACAGACTCATGTCTTTACAGTGATGGTGATAGAAACCAGCACCCCTGATGTCTACAATGCAAATGTAGCCATTTTATTTACTATCCAATACCATCAGTGAACTTGAGTTTTTATGTAACGTTGATGATGGTAAAATAGTGGTAAATCTGAAAATTCTTTGGGGACTATTTTGCCTTAGAACACCCTTCATATCCCTCCACCATGAATGGATTAAAATTAATTGATTAAAATATGTTTAAACCAAAACTTTATCACAAAGTTACTGTAAAACAATGTCTCAGACATCAGGTTGTGTATTCATAACCATTAAACAACCACATAATACCTTTCTGTGAGGGAGCATTTAGAGACGTTTAACTCCTCAGACGTCTGGTTCCTATCATCATCATTGTAAACAATTACAGACTCTGTAAGTCTCTCTAGAACAAAGCGTTTCATACCAGACCACTCTGCATGATTTTTTTAAAATGTAAACCATTTAATTATGCAGGAATTTTGAAAAATCAATGAAGTTCCCCTTTAAATCACATAGCTGACCTGAGGTGTGTTGAAAAGCTTTTTTGCGTATTACTATTTGGCACTTAAAAAAACCTATTGACTCCTAATTTTTTAGGAGCCAATGGCTCCTTAAGCTGTTTTTTGTCTGGAACCCTGAATTATAGCAACATTACGGTAAAAATAACACTGTAGTAATACTCTGGAACCTTTATAGATTACTGTTTTGTTTAGACCTAGATTGTGTTTTTATAGGAGAAGATACCAAGAGAAAGAAATTTATGAAGAAAAAATGTATATATTTGAAGGTTTTCTTACAATCTGATTGGCTCAGCCGCGTTCAAAGCCGTTGTAAAATCTGCCATATACACACACCTATGACCACCTATAAACTGAGCTCTGTATCTGTCTAGGATAAAATACTTCACAATGGGTTTCATAGCATTGCTGTCAAAAAACTACAATCATCATACTGAAGGATAAAATATTTATACCTGAACAATCCTAAAATGAAATTGAAATTAAAAAAGTAAGTACATTTGCCAAACAGGCACAACAATAAATTTGCAGTTTTTTTCTGCAGTTTTTCTTTTTTGGTATTCAATATTCTGGCAACTCAAATATTGTGAGGTAGGTGTTGAATTTGCAATGCAAACAGACTTGTTAGCAATAGTGCTGACTAAAACTGCACTGTAGGATTTGGAACACTTCTTGAAATATTAGTGACTTATTAAACTTTAAGTAGCTCTAAAGTAATACACTCCAGAAGTCACATGACTATCTAGAACCTACAGGAATCAACTGCTGCTAATTCAAAGGAATTTAGGTCATAATTCATCCTCAAAAATTTGCATAACAAAGTCTTAACAGAGTGTTTGTTTTGCATTACAACTAATAGTGTATGTGTAATTTGGGCTTTACTGAAAGTCATATGAGCTGTTTAATTCTCTTCATGCTTATTAAGAAGGTTGAGTCTTAAGCTATTTCCAGCTCATAGTCTTCTGATGTCCGTGTGAGAGTAAACCTACCAGTACTTTTTAAAATATCCCTGATGTGGTGTCATATGACTTTGAGTGCAATAAATTTCGGACACCTGCCACAGCTCTCATCTGATTGTGAATTATCTGAAAATGAAGCCGTGTTTATATCAGATGTGATTTTCTGAAAAGGGTAGTGTTGTGGAATGGTCATTGATACTCATGGCCATTAGGTATTAGGTCCTACAGCCAGGGAGGGGCTGACTTTTATAGTTACACTACTGTTGTTATTCTGCCATCATCTCAACTTGGACAATATGTGCATGTGTATAATGTACATATGAACTTCTTAAATCTCATTAAAGACTACTTCAGGTTGTACTGTTTGTAAATATGCATCTGCATCTGAGCAGATATTTGTTAAACCACAGTGTTGATTAAATTGAATTGAAAGTGAATTGAAAGTCTTATAAATACTGTAAATTAGTTTTTCCTAATATACAGTACAGTGCAAAAGTCAGAGATCACCCTTTATGCATGCAGTTTCTTGTCAAAGTGGCCATTAAGTACAAATCACTTATTTTTTAGCATCAGGAAAACATAGGCAGAAAATTACACAGAAGACTCAACAACTATTAGTACTATTAGTACTTGTAGTATTTTATGTGTCTACTCTTTGCTTTATTACAGCTTCTGTTTTTGTCAGGAAACAATTGCATGGATATTTTTTCACACGTCCAAAGTTCAGTCTTAGAAGTTGGTTGCATAATCTGAAGCAGAAATGGAGCTTGATTGTCCCCTCTCTCTCAAAGATAAAAGCTTTAAGTAGTGCTTATCTAAACAGGTTTGGTAGTCAAAACGCACATACATCCATCCACCCACCCATCCATCTATCCAGCTCTGCCTCACTAGTTTGCCAAAGTTGTAGTACTAGACCTTACCTTCAAGGTGATATAAAATATGTAGACATTAGACAATTGATGGAAGTAATAAGTCAAATATTTTTACCAATAATCCTTATCAATTCAGGAAAAATGACTCAAAATATATCTTACTGAGCATATTGCTTCTCTCATATTACAACCTTGTTATTTCCATTTTTTTGGCATCATTTGAAAGCGGCAGCTGTCCTTTACATTTCACGACAAAGGGACCAACAAAAAAGGTCTAAAATGACTTGGAATAAAAATCTCATTACATTACTGTACATTAAAGTTAAGGATGCAGTTCCTCTTCCTATAAAGTTACCATTTTGGGGCTACATGGTTTTGTTACAACAGCGACAATATGCTCAAAAGGAAATCTAGCAAAGATGGTGCACCAATTGGCCAACACCTTCAAATATGATCAATATCTAGCACAATATCAATCAGGTGATCTCCTGCAGTGTAAACAAGCTGGCCCATTTCTGTTCTGGGTGACCGACAAGTAGTGATGACAGCTTATTGTGGATTAAAACACCCAACGCTGGACAGTTTAGACACATCTTAAAACTAGTAGGCCTTTACAACTTTGCCACATAATTAAACTTTATTTCACAAATTCACTGAGTCATTTAATCAGTACAAACATTTTTAGTCAGCTATGAGACTGCTGGAAAAAAGAAAACAGAAAATTCTAGTTTGTCACCGTCAGGCTAGGAGAAGACGCATCAGTACATCAGTTCAGCAGCGTGCAGAATTCTGGGGAAGAGCAAAAACAGAGATCAGAGTATTAATCACAAATACTTAGATAGATAACACAAAAGATTTCTGGTGCTGAATTGCAAAAGTTACTTGTAAAAGTTTAACTAAGCAACACTAAAACGTCTTTTTCTAAGCCACCGTAATCTGAACTGAGACACTACAATATGACACTCAGTCTGCCTTAAAGGGAGAGTCAGGGGAGGGAGTCTATCTCCCTCTAGGCAGTTTGTCAGTAGGTTTTAGTGTTAGTAAATAGTTCTAATCCTCTGGGTGAAAGGAGGAGTAGTGCTGGGAGTAGAGCTTCAAATTTCCAAGGGACTGCAGGCTCAGTCTGTTGCTCATTAGAGGCTTTATCTCTAATGATGTTTTACTATTGTGATAAATAATGTAAATATCTGACCCTGCAGCAGTTTTATTTGAACGAAACGATTCAATGCATCAAATCTCAAATTTCACCAAAGTTTGTTTAGCTTCAGTTATTTTGGTGAGTTTTAGAATTATTGTAAAAAACACAAATTTATTGAATATTACACTCAGATATAAAGGTATGAAACTGTCACTGGGGCAGTACCTCTCTTTTCACTGGGGTGGGACCCTAAAGGGTACATCTCAGTACCTTTAGTCAGGGAACATAATTGTACCATAATCCATTGAAATTATGTTTTCTAAGTTGTATTGGCTCCACACACCCCGTCTCGTCTCCAGGCTTTTTATTTTATTGTTCTGTTTTAAAACATTTGGTTATAAAAAAGATAATTTTCACCTGGAAAAACTTATTTAAGATACACAATTGGACCTTAAAACCACTGTTGTACCTTTGAGGGTACATTTACAATGTTTGTACCTTAATAAATGAAAAATTTAGCTGCACGGTGACTTTATTTTTGAGAGTGTATTATTATCAATTCTAACATTCTAAAATCAATGAAATTGAATTGCCACCTTCAGATCGATACATTACAGTGCACTGATGTATTTCTATTGTGTATTTTATTATTTACCCTGCATGCCAATTTTGCCATCTCCATCACAGTCTCCCACTGCCAGAAACGCTTTGGTCTCGGAGTCTGTCAGCTCTCGGGCACCTGCGATGAAGTTCTGGAGGAAGAGTCTGAAGAGGAAAAAGTGGAAAATGGAAATGTTTTGCTCAGCGTCTGGCGTGACTACAATGCGAGAGTGAACTTGCTAACTCCGAAAGCATTAAAGGAATACTCCTACACTACTTCTAATCTGTAGCACAGAATCAGTTACAATAGAAATCATAGTTTCAACACATTTGCCTGTACTTAGAAAGGAAAAGACAACCTGTTGACTCAAAAAATGTTTATAACAGAAGTCATCATGTGGCTTTTATTATGTGTGTCTTGGATCAATAGGTTCTGTTTTATTTTCCTGCAGTTTTATAGCTTTGATTTCCTCATAACGTGTTACATTTTGTCAATGAGCAGTAAGTGCATTGTGCAAAAGAGAAATCTGGGTTGAAAAACTGCAAAGTGATATCCACACTGCTGCCACAACAAAACCTTGTATCTCTGAAACAGTAACTTTGCCAGAAAAGTCAACAAAACAACATTAAATATTTGTCTGTGAAGTCACTTCATATTGTTCAGTAGCGTTTGTATGAATGTGGAGAATCTTCAGCCTGCTGAATGTGAGCGAATGACTGAGAGAGTGATTAGTGTGAGTGTCTGAGTACGTGGCTGACTAAGTGAGAGAGTAAGTGAGTGAGTGATTAGAGTGAATGGGTGAGTAACTGACTGAATGAGTGATTAGAATGAATGAGTGAGTGATGAGAATGAATGAGTGAGTGATGAGAGTGAACAAATAAATGAGTAATTAGAGTGAATGAGTGAGTAGAGTGAAAGAGCGAGTGAGTGAGTGAATGAACGAGTGGGTGAGTGATTAGAGTGAGTGAGTGAGTGAGTGACTAAGTGACTGAGTGAGTGATTTGAGTGAGTGAATGAAAAGACTAAGTGACTGAGTGATTAGTCAATGAGGGAGTGACTGAGTGAGTGATTAGAGTGAGTGATTTGAGTGAGTGAGTGAAAAGATTGAGCGATTAGAGTCAATGAGTGAGTGAGTAACTGAGTGGGTGATTAGAGTGAATTAGTGAATGATGAGAGTAAATGGATGGTTGATTAGAGTGAATGAGTGAGTGATTAGAGTGAGCGAGCGAGTGACGAGTGAGTGAGTGATTTGAGTGAGTGAGTGAGTGAGTGAGTGAATGAGTGAGTGATGAGAGTAAATTAATGAGTGAGTGATTGAGTGAGTGACTGACTGACAGAGTTATAAGCCAGGTCCATGAGGTGCTTCACAACTAAAAAATAGAGTTACAAGCTTTTCTTATGACAGCGAGTGTATTTAAAAGTGCCAGTCAGAGTTGTGCATTACTTGAGCTCCTCTTCTTCAATAAATCCACTCTTGTCTCGGTCAAGGACTTTGAACACTTCCTGGCCCTCAGTGTTCGACTTGCCAGACAGCCCCACTTGTTTAAAGAAAGCCTCGATTGCAAAAGTGCCCGGAGCTGTGGAGAGACAACAGTGGTGAGAGACAGAGAGTGAGTAAGACAGCAAAGCAAAGAAGAGAAAAGCTGAGTTATGGGGCCATTCTGGCCTACTGACCAACGATTCACCCGCATTTATATAAGACTTTTCAGAATAACAGTCAAGGAATACTCCAGCATTTTTCATCCTACTCTCAGTCTGCTGTATTTGCAGCATACAGCCAGTTACTATAAACAATGATTTTGATACTTGTCTCTATTCATAGTAAAAGTACAGAAACTCACTGACTTATAAAAGAAAGCAGTAGGCATGAGCTGAAGCAGCTTCCCTTTTGCTTCTATTATGAGTGTGTTCTGAGTCAACAGGTTTTATAAGTTTCTGTTTTGTAAGTCTCTTTTGTAAGAAATGTGTCAAAATGACTCTCTGTGGTAAATGACAATGTAAAACAGTGATGGCTGGGGTATTCCTTTAAAGATGATATATAGCTCTATAGATTATTAGGTATTTTAATACATTAAATTTGCACTTAACATAGTGATGCATTGAATTGACCTGATTGTAATGAGTACATGATTTGCACATTAAAGGGGAATTCCTTTGATTTTTCATTGATTGTATTAATTAAATAATGTAAACAAAGTCATTCAGAGTGGTTTCATGTGAAATGCTCCGTTCTAGAGAAACTTACTGAGTCAGAAATGTTTACTGTGGTGGTGATAGGAACAAGACGTCTGAAGAGTTTAATGCTTCTAAAAGCTCCCTCACAGATAGTTATTACAATCATAAAAGAAATGGTTATGAATATGATGCCTGATGTCTCAGACCTTGTTTGTATGATAGTTTTATGATAAAACTTTGATCTAAAATATAGATTTTTAAAAACATTTGCGGTGTTGTAAGACAAAATAATACCTAAACAAAACTTTTTTTTTTAGTTTACCACTGTTTATCATTATCAACATTACATATAAAAGCTTAGATGACACATGCAGGTTCACTGGTTTTAGTTAGGAAATAAATGGGCTATATTTGTTTTATACGCACTGCACCCCTTGGTTCCTATCGCCACCCCTGAAAAGAAGTCAGAGTCTGTAAGTTTCTCTACAATGAACTATTTCAGATCAAACCACTCTGAATGACTTGGTTTACATCTCAATGGTTGAATCATGCAGAAATTTTGAAAAATTGTTGGAATTCTTCTTACATGACCTGTACATTAATAAATGCGGTCTTTCAGTTTCTTTCCTTTTGCCAACAATTATGCTGATGTGATATATTTTATTCATGCGAAAGTGATGTACATTTGAATCAAGTAAATTTAAGTTCAGACAGGACTGGTGATGCTATGGCTCAAGATATCCTCCTACGCTGAAGCCATGACACTGACATTTTCATCTTCTCCAAATGGCGTGCTTTTGTCCGCTTTTTGAAGCAGATAGAATTGTCAGATGAATAATTAAAAGCAGGTGGGATTTGAAGTCTGCATGCTTGGTGGTTCAAATTGTTCTTGAACACTCAGCGCAAACACACTGGTATCTGGGTGGTAACGGCTCCCTAGCCCCCTGGCTGCTTGGTTACCTTGGCCTAGCAATCCCCCATGCATGTGCCCACGGGAGTCTATGTGTGTGAATACATGTATGTAAACAGTGGCTGTACATGTAAATGTGTGGCTGTGGTTAATCTGGGTGTGGTGTTTGCATGTACATAACGTCCTTAAGATGACCTTGGCATGCCTGGACAGCCGCAACAATGTCCTCTTCTTTCAGTATCCCTGCAAACGCCATGCCTGTGTCCACCTGAGCGCTGGTCACATGGAGACAGAAGTGACAGTTTTAGGCATAACTGTATATCTCTGGGCTCTGGGCACATCATATATATTTTTGTATGTATGAAGAGCTTCAATCCAAAATGCTGTACATCCATTTATAATAACTTTTGATATAAAGAATTTGAAAAGAGTGATAACTGACATGTAACAAACTTTGTCCAAGAATGTGTTTTTATTTCTCTAATAAAGGTGGTTACCATCATCATACAGCATGAATGTTTCTTGAAACAAAAACACAGTTCATGAATATAGTGTTTAATGTATTTGTCAAATGACATATTGTTGATTTTCTAAGTGAAAATAAGTTAACACATCCTCTACAGAAAACACACTTCTGCACGTTTTAATGCACAATTACTGTTTATTTGCTGAATTAGCATATTGGGAAAAAATATAAAACTTAAAATGTGGTCTGTGCAAAAATTATGGCATATTTATATTTTATGTTAAACTCAGCAGATAAATATTGTGCACTAAAATGACAGAAACTGTTCTCTGTGGAGGATGTGTTAACTTATTTTCACTTAGAAAATCAACAAAAGATGCAAGTTGACCTGAGGTGTTCAACATTTTGCATTCCACTGTATATAAACAAACAAAAAATTAATGTCGAAACAAAAATTTTATCATCAGAATTCTACCAATATGTGAATGTATTGCTATACTAAGGAAATAAATGTTTTTAATCCATGTTTTAATCCCCACATCCCCCACTAACTGCTGTGTGAATATCTCAGTTGATGTTTTCTGCATTGTGCACTGATGTCTTTGCACTTTTTGTATATGTAAATATGTGCAAAATGTGTAATTTCTATATTGATGTTTGTGTTCTTTTGCTACTGTAGCATCTTGTCTCTATCTATCTATATAAACTCTGAACATATATGGCTTGTATATGTATACATAATTCAGTCTTTGAATTATACATTGTAAAATGAAGAATTAATTGTGCAAATGCAATATAATATTTCTTAGCAAGTTTAAACAATCAAAGCATTATAAAGTATTTTAACACTGGCCTTAACCAACCTCAAAGTTTTATCAGACACAAAAAAACATCAACAGACAACAAAGAATTGAGCACTAACCTTCAGCTGGGTGATGAACCTGTGCAGCTTCCACTGAAGCATCCACCTGAATGCAGCTGAAGAGAGTACAGCGTCCGTGCCTATAAACCCACGGAGACCAACTTACCACAAAACACCTCCCTCCTCATTAGCAAATCAGAGTATATCATTTCTGATGACTGTTGGTTGAAAACTATTCCCCTGGAAAAAAAATACTATGTAATGCACAGACAAACCAAAACATAACCATGCTTCATAGTGTAAACACAGCCATAAATATTAAACTCATACATTTGTATATTGTATATTGTACACCACTGTGCAAAACGCAGAGATCGCCCTTCATTTAGTTCCCAAATTTTCTTCTATTTAGTATATCAATAAGGGCTACTTGACAGCTCCACATCTGTTCAGACTTATAGTGTTGAGATGTCTTCTCACAGTGGAAGGAATGGACAGAAACACCTGTGGATTTTTTCAGAGCTGAATCAAGAGTGGAGCTTGATTTTCTCCTCTCTCTCAAAGATGAAAGCTTTAAGTGCTGTTCCTCTGATGGGGACAGTTTTGGTGGTCTGCCAGGTCTCAAACAGTTGTTAACAGTCCCATTTTCTTTACATCTTTTAATAAATAATCTCCTTAGAAATATCTCCTGAAAATGAAAAAAAACCTTTTCCTGTTTTCACTGGAAATTAAATAAATGAAAAATGATCTCTGACTTTTGCATTGTACTGTATATTGTGTATATCTGTGTACATCATTTCTTTGTACATTCACAGGTATCTCTTGTTTTCATGTAAATCATTTATTATTAACTAGCGCTTATTCATTTTTCCTACCTTCAAAGTTCCCCTCTCAGATTACTTATCAACTGTCCAAGATGAACCTGCAGAACGTAAAAGTTTCTTAATAAAAACTGTATGCAAAGGCCTTTAGAATAGTGAACAGTGTTAAAATGACTATTTATGAACTGTTCTTTATATATTATGCTGTTATTACCACCATTTTTGTAAAATCTGCCCATGTACTAGTGAATTTATATCAACAAATAACAATACATCTTTAGGCTCTAAGCATAATACATTCCTTCCCTTGCATGACTTAAGCTAAAGGCCTACACGGCTGACCCACACATGAGACTCTGCACATGGTGGGTAAAACAGGTTTATCACCAAAAAGTACTGTGATCATAAAAGAATTATGATGTTTTATTGTAAATCTCAGGCTTTTCATTAACACACACTATGTGCAGATCTTGTGATCTACAGCCTGTGAAGTTAACACTGTCAAAAATCTGTGCATTAAAATGAAATACAGTGCATATTATATTTCTCACATAAAAAACAACAAACTCAGTGAAAAAAGCAGTGCCTCCAGGAAAGTTCCTATTTCCTATTCAGCCACAGTAGAGCAAAAAATATACAGAAATCTGATATATGGCCATTTATGGACAGATATCATAAAGAGTCATATATGCATATCATATATTATAATGATCATATATGCATAATATATGAATCATACATATATGTCTGATACATGGTTGAATCCATCCCAGCACAGTTAAAATTTTTACTGTTACTATTGTCTGTTTGCTTTCGAATATCAATTTATTTAAATGAGTCAGGAAACAATATGTTCCATGTACGAAAGAGATGGTTCGGCAAGGGTTCCATGAGCCATAGAACCATGAACACTCAAAGAATAATTTCATACTTAAATGTTTCTTTGCATGGAGAAGTTCTTCCGATTGAGGCAGAATGTGTTGTATATGGTTCTACATAGGACCTTTTTGGAAATGGTTCTGCACAGCACCAGAAAGGTTCTAGAACCATTTTCAAAAAGGTTATATGTAGAACCATATACAACACATTCTCCATCAATCTAAAGAACCATTTCACATGCAAAGAACCATTTAAGCATGCAAATGGTTCTCTGAGTGTTCATGGTTGCCTACAGAAACAATGGGCCTCATCCACCAATATCTTCGCACGTTTGTTCTCAAATGTGTTCTTGAGAAAGATCCTAAGAAAACGTCTACGTCAGATTCATGACGTGTTCTCACAGAACTGTTCACACCATTGTGCTCTCAAGTGTGTGTAGATTCTGTTCTCACTTAAGAACAAATCCCAAATAAGAAAACATTGGTGAATGTCAGAAACTTCATGAAAACTGCTTAAGTGGGTTTTAAGAAGAAATTTGCTCTTAATAACGGTTGGTGAATGAGGCTCATTGTCTTTACTAAATAACCCTTCCAGAACCTTTAAGGGAAATCCATATATGGTAATATATGTCATATATTTGAAATCTATTTATTGATGTATATTAGACTCCTGTGTGGCGATGCTTAGATTGTGTCTATGCTTAAGTCACATCCACTGTGCAGATCCTACAGCTGTGTTAGTAATAAATGGATCATTAAGAGAAAAAGTCTGAAAAATGACTGAATTTGTCTAGAAAAAGGATTAAAACTCAAATGCCTATCCTAATAGCCTAGATGTTGGATGTACTAAGACGTTCCACAGCAGTAACAATACTCAGTACACTCTTAAAAAAGATTATTCTTCAAGGGTTCTTTAGAAAAGGGAATGGTTCTCTTTAGACCCATGAGTTCTACATAGAACAATTTCATGCTTAAATGATCCTTTGCTTGGTGAAACTGTTCTTCAGATTGATGGAGAATGTGTTGTATGTGATTCTACATAGAACCTTTTGGAAATGGTTCTATACATCAGGCTTGTGACAATAGAAGAACCCTTTTTTGGTGCTATATCATTCTCCATCCATCTGAAGAACCATTTCACCATGAAATGGTTCAGTACAGAGCTCATGGTTGTAAATGGAACCAGAACCCTTGAAGAACCGCCTTTTAAGAGTGTAGGTTTCCGACCCGCTACTTTTATACCTTTTTTAGAGCAAATGTCAATATTTACAGTTTTATACCGGAGAAGCTGTGAAATGTCCCTGTGTATAACAGCAGTCTGTCGTTCTCCTGAGGAGAGATTTGAAGAAGTGCGCGGTACCTGCTTTTCCTGAACACTCCCTCTGATTTGTTGTGCCGCGCGACTGCATGTGACGCAGCTGAGGGCGAACATGGCGCTGGAACAGGGAGGTGATGCTGGACCGTGTCAACTAACCTCACCGCTGTAAACGGACCGCTGTAACGTTAAACGTCGGAAAATACCCGCGTATAGATATGATTCTTCAGGAGAGATAATGAACAGTCGCGTCGTTTCAAGCAACAAAAGACGACAGCGAGTAAGAAGCTGCTATCTACCTGCCGGGAGCTTGCAAGTGTTAGCTAGGTTAGCTAGCTAGCTAGCCTGGTCAACACCGCCGGACTGTGGATGGTCACGCTGCTAACGCTCAGCTAGCTGGATGTTTTCGGTTATGATACCACCAGCTGAATGTCGATAGAGTTGATGTGTCAGTTGTATTAGGTAGTTTTATCCACAAATGTCTCTTTTATGCCTTTCCTTTAACGCTAGTGATTAGTAGTAGGATAGAGGTGACTAGCCGGGTTAGCTAGCTAGTCGGGCTGAGAGCTGAGACGATGGACACCGTTCGTGTGTGTGTATGTGTGTTGTCACTGGGAGCGGGGATCCTGCAGCTTTCTGAAGGTGCACCTCTTCTGAATCAACAAACAGGTAAGCTAACGTTATTTGATAACACATTTCACTAAATAATGAGCTGACAGTGCGGTTGAACCCGTATATTCAGTGTTAGTCTTTGGCTAAATAGCTAAGCTGTCCGGCCTGACTGACGACTGGTTTGCTACCAGCTTGTGATATGTGAGCTAGAACAGATAGGTTAGCTGGCTAGGCTAGCATCACAAACGAGCTTGTCGGGCAGCTAACCTAGCTAACGTAATTAGCTGATAGTTGACCTGTGTTTGTTTACAGGGAAGTTCATGTTGACCCCAATTGTATCCGTTCTTTCCTTTGCAACGTTGTTATAGTCTCCCACACCTAGTGAACGTTAGCTACCTCCTTTAGAGAAGGAATGTAGTGGTTCCCTGTTCTTGATGTTTTTAGCCTGATAGTTAGCTACCTCACTGGCTCTGGCTCTATTGGACACCAGTTTATAACAGCAGTTATGCCTAGTTATAAAAGTAAACATTGTCAGCACAGTGCTGTCAAAGAAATTACCTGTAGCCTTCAGCTTTGCACTAAACCTGATGTAGGTGCTCCATTATGTTATTGTAATGATACACATTCCTGTCAAACAAGTTGCTGTTTGGACACAACTAACATTTTAAAGCAGAGAGTTCACACTTAACACATGTCTTGCCAAGATTATACATTAAAGTTTTTAGAGCATTTGCTTGGTGGTTGGCTAAGTTATAACCTCATTCTTGTGACCCACAGTGGTACTTACAGTAATGTGTAACGTAATAATACATTCCACTCTTATCAACAGTGAATGATTGACTAAGTAAGGGATGTCTGTTCCTTAAAAGTCTCTATTAAAGTGCACACATTGTTCATGACTAGCCTGTGTCTGATTTGATTTTGCCCAGAAGCAAAAGGCCATGGTTGTTTGCTGTTTAGTCACAATAGTCTTGTGTTTTGGCTTTGCTGGCCACTTGTCATGCTAATGAAACAAGGTGTAGGCCAAGATGCATATTCCAGATTAGATTTAAATGAAAGGCCTTTCCTGCTTAGCATATAGTCTACCAGAGTTTTATGTTGTGTTTTATGTTGTGTCATTGTTAATTGGGATTCACAAAGATATCAGAATCATATCTGCCAATAAAATACAAATGTTACAATTTGACAGATATCAAGATATTTCAAACGGATTTTGACGGCTTATTACAGAGGAGCAGAACATTTAGCCAAACATTTTCTACAAGAACCAGCAGGACAGTTCCTTTTTTGTAAAAGAAAACAAATTGTCTGCATAATTACACAGATGATTATGGTAATTTAACAAGAGCAACGGTCCACAATGCTCATCACATCATGGTGGTGTGACGCACTCCTAGCTGACTAATAGTTGTGACTCAAACAGAGTCATTTTGCTGTTTATCTTGTCTGGCCTGAGACTTCACTGAGCTGTGAGAATCTTCATGGTCCAGTGACATTAACCTTGGCCCACAGTGTGCTGCTATCACCAGTGATCCTTCTTAATAACAAGCTAGACAAATGTTAGTCATTAATTGTCAGGCCTTCATAATGTCAGTTTCACTTGACTTTTACTGTGTCAGAGTGTTTACATTGGTCAGCTGTTTGTGGTCTTCAGTAGAAGTTCTCACATCTATGCTTTGGCTCCTTAAAGAGTATGTGTTTGAGTTGATAAGTGGGTCCTGGCTGGGCTGCGTATAAAGTTTACTTAATGTGGGTATATTTTGAGTAGAGAAACATTAAGCTGCTCTAAAACCATACTTTTCTCATTATCTGACGTATGACAACACTGACGGTGACTGTCGCAGTAACTGCCCACGAGTCAAACACAGAGACAGAATGCTGTAGGCGTTGCTAACATGACGCGTGACTGTTTAATAAGAAAATACACCTACATTACTGTTTATATGAAGGTCCCAAAAACATCCTTTACATGTAGTGAGAGTAATTGGAATGTCAGTCTCATATTTCAAAGTCAGGTGCAGGATTAAACTCTCTTGTATGAACCCTTTGACTTTGAAGAGTTTGCCAAACTGTTTACCTTGCAATGCAACAAAATAATACAGTAGGTCAAAATAATGCTTTTTTGCAATTCAGTACTTTATTGCAGTAGGTCTTGTAGACGTGAATGTTCTTTTCAGCTTCTCACATGCATAGTATGGACAAAATGTCACACTGTGATTATATTGCTGCATGTTACACTGGCAGTATGCCTTGCAATATATTAAGAACGCATTAATGAATCGTTGCTACATCAGGATTAAAGGTTAGCATGCATTATTTTGACAAATATATTTGTTGTTTCACATAAATGCCTTGATTCAGCAAAATACCCACAGAAACCAGTAAGACTGAACAGAATAATTTGAATACTTGAATATTGAGTTTGAATGCTTGTCTGTTATATTAAAGTTAGTTTTTTTCTGTGTAGTAATCAGGAGCTTTGTCTTTTTTTTCCAAATCACAAAAATTTCAGCTGAGGCTACAACTTCTATCAGCAGCAAAGGCCTTTAAATTGAACAGTTATTGTCAGTGTATGGAAAATTATCATATATTTAAAAAAATAAAAATATATAATTGCTGGTTTAGTTGAATAAGTCATGTGCAAAAATGGTCAGTGCAATGTTTGCGATAAGAAGATGGTGTACCATGGAGGCATGACAAATTTGCTAAATCATCTCCTATATGTCCATGTCTATTATCCAGTAGGCATGTCACACATGTTAATGTTTGTTGGTTAGTGGGGTTGGGAGATGAAACAGGGTTGCTGAAGCACCAGAATGTATGTGCCGCACCATTTAAGGTTCCATGGAAAATTAGAATAAGAAGCAAACTTCAGCTTCTTGTACCTTGGATGGTTGATTAGCCAAGCTGTTTGAAATGGCAAGCGGGGAACTTACAATTTGTACCACTACTTGAAGAGAGCCCTGGATTCCACAGTTGGCTAGAAGTGATTTAGCCACATTACAGAATCCCCTCTCACACTCATTTCAGCCTGAAGGCAAGAATGACATTTTATATAGAAGCACAAGATCTGATTGTAAATTAATTATGCGACATGTAATAGGTGTCTTGCACTTTTTGTTTGATGTCTAATAAGAAAATGACTTGTGCTGTTTATCCCTTCAGGAAGCTCTGTTGTCTTTTTTGGGGCAACAGTAAGAATTACCCAAAAACAAATTGAGAATTTCGAATAGATAACTAAATGCGTAAGCTACAAAAACAACAATATGTATTGTATCATGAAATCTGTGTATCGTTGTACCCCTGTTATCCAAGTACCACTTGGTAGGCTACATGCCTTTCTTATAACATGGCTGATTTAAGTTCTGATTTCACTGACATTATTGTTTTTAAGGCTGATTTTGAGAACGAGTATCCGGGTACTCATTTAGAAATGCCATCGAGTGTTTGAAGCCGGTAAAATGCTTTTCAGATCAGCCCTAGAACCCAGTCTTTGACTGCTTAACATCATCACCTCCACACCGGTTGCACTTATAGACCTTTTTTATTACTGCTGCTGAGCAAAGTTCACTCCAATATGCAGGTATAACAGGAGCTATTTGCAGCTTGTTCGGTTGAGCTGAGAAGCAGCAGAATGATTTGTTAGGATTGCCAAGTCATGATAAAGATGTATTCCAGTCTACACTCATGATTCTGATGGGAAGTTACCACCTCTGCTTATATAAGACAGGCTAATGCAGTGTCAGGATTTTACATGCTTTTCTCTGCTGTTCAAATGGAAATGTCCCATGGCCTTTATTTTCCTCCTTCTCATTACCTCCCCTGATCCAAACTCTTTGGCAGCACTTTGGCCTTTGCCTGCTATTTTGTGATTATGCAAGTCTATAATTGATTTACAATCAAGTACAGGAAATAATTGACATTATGTTGGTCAACCTTGCACTTCTGTTTTACCTGTTAGTTTGGAAATGCTGTTAAATATTCAGTGGGCTAGTTAGTGTTAGTGTTGTCTAAGATTCATGTTCAAGAGTGGTGTTAGTAGTTGAGACTACTTAAATCAAAATGGTTCATCAGTCAACATCTTGTAAATTCTATAATCTGCAAAGATTGTTATGCGATCAACTATTGTTGTTGGTGATATTAAAAATATTATATATTAACCCTAATGAACTGTTGGGTTATTTATACCTGTTTGGATTTGAACTTAGACGCTAATTTGCAGGTCCCTAATTTTAGGAGAGCATTTAGAACCATACAATTTTGATTGAAAACATACAATTATCATTTTGCACAAGCTTGTCTTATCTCACCCCATCTTGCTATATTCTATGCTACAAAAAATACAACAAAATTAATTTTGACTCTTGAAACTCAATCACAATGAGTGTCTTGGACACTTGGAATTTAGCGAAACACTGTCAGGCCACAGGCTGCCTCTGAATCTTTAATTTCTGCTCATTAAATTTTCACAACAGATCCTGCTTCCTTATGGCTTCTGTTTTACCCAGAATGTGTGTAGTACTTGTGAAGCCAGCGCAGACTGTTGTGATTTCAGGCAGATCTTATGGTGTCTTTTCTCATATGTTCAGTTGCACTGTTTAGGGGTACCGTCTTTCTTAACAGACAGCAAGTTGTTGATGAGCTCTGAAAAGTTCAGAACTAAGGCCCAACTGCTTTGAGAATTTTGTGGCTGGTACTAATTTTAGGGGGCTGTAAATTCTGTGATCTTTTTAATAAGTTTGCCAGTGTTATATTATTTTTATATTTACATTTTTACTCCAGTAGTTTATTAAACAGTGCTTTTTTGACATATGTTTGTAATTTTTGTTATGTTTTCTCTCTTTGTTATTCTTATTTTGGTAGATAAGTTTGTATATGTTTTGCAAACTTTGTATTGCTGTTATATAGTTTTTCAAATTGGGTTCCTCAATGAAGGTTTTGCCCTGTCTTAAGGTGATTGAGAATTCACATCCTGGCAGTAAACAAAAAATAGTTTGCAGATATCAGTAAAAAGTGTGCGTCATCACTGCGGACTGTCATTATTGGGCAAACGATATATCGGTTGGGCCTTATTCAGAACAGTAGTGTTGCACTGAAAAAGCTTTGTCACAGTAATAGTCTAGACCTGTGCGGTTCTCTTTGCCCAGTATATCTCATTTATAAAATACAAAAACGGTTGTGTTTGCTAATTTTAGGTCGGCCATGAAGATTATGTGAGTCATTTAAAAACTAAATGTACTGATGTGATTCTGTAATGAGTGTGTGTGTTGTCCATATCTGTTTTGAGTCTATTTTAGTTTATTTCTAATACCTGAAATCTGCTGTTTTTCACAGTGAATGATTCTCAAAGCATCCTCAGTGGAAACGAAACTTGAAAGTGCACTTGAGAACTCTGTGGAACATAATTTCTTAAAGGTTTAAATCAAAGCAGATATCCCAGCAGCAGAGCACATTTAACTGACAGATGGGCATATCCAGCTGCCCGTGCTTTGCATTTGCTCGTTTTGCTTATAGTATACATACATTGTGGTTGTGAATTTTTCTTTTTTTTGTGTGTGGTCTGTTACCAAAAGCAGGCCTGCACGACACAGACAAAATATCTGATTTCAGTGCTACATATTGTGGTTGTGATATACATTGTCATATGTTAAACACACAGTAGTGAAGCCTTGATGTGACACAGTAAAGACTGGCCTGCATTATAACTTGTAGCGTCACTAGCGTTGACGAATATAATGGTTAGTATATTACATATGTTGGTGAATACATGTATAATATTATACAACACAGGCTTTATAGTCTCAAACCTGTTTTAGATGTTGACAAAACTTAATGTTGTTTACAAATTCAAGAAAAATATCCTCAAACCTTCCATCTGTTTGTAATGTGTATTTTGTCCGACACCAGTGTATCTCTCCGTCATCAGTCACTTGACTTGCACTGTAGATATGAGTCTTTATTTTCTTTACGTGTAATCCCTTAGCTGGACCTTTAAAGGGAAATGTGATTGAAAATCTGTCTATGTCTTGGTTTGGTATTAGATAGTTCTTTGACATTTACGCCTCATATTATGCATTTGAAAAGTGATGTTGAAGATGAAATGGGATTTTATTTTAGAAATAAGTTGTTTTAAATCCTTTTAAGCTAAAAATAAGCTTGATTCTTCTACTTTTTTATCAGTACTTCATTGTGGAGATA